TGGAAACGCACAGGCCAAGATAATCAAGTTATCCTACACAGGACAACTCAGACAGCTAGCTTATCCTAACTCTCTACTAACTTGTTTGACATTTGTGATTTTACTGGGTCATAACTTTTCAATAAACTGCATTCTCCTTTTAGGCTTGGACAAGAATATAAATGACAAATATTAAAAGGGTAGACTACTGTATACATTTATTCCTTTAAGTTTTACTTTTTAATATGGTTTCTGAATACTACAAATTGATGTAGATGATCATTTTCTCACATTGTTAACTGTTCTTTTACACATGTATGTAGTAATTAGCAGACAGAGTAAAAATGTTTCCCAAAGCTGTCTCAAGGGAAAAAAGAACAAGTGCAACTAATGTCTAATTACATACATCTACTGATGCAATTTATGGTTCTTATTTTACCATATTAACCCACCTTCTGTGGCTTGAAATCAAATTTCACACAGTGCTGGAAACCTTTTCCTTTTGATTTTATTGATGTCACAATCAAACAGCCTCCTACAAAGTGAGCAGAATAACCAAGTCCTTTGTTTGTTCGAAAACTTAAAAGAAAAAAAAAAGTTCTGTGAATAACTGAAGCTAAATGTGCCAGTAAACAAAAAAATGTTTTTAGGCTTGTTTTGTTCAATCTAAGTAAACAGTATTAAAAATGGATATAAATGGAACATCAGAAGTGCAAGCTTACACAATACATACCAATATAAGTAAGGCTTATCCTTATCCACATTGATATTGTTTACAGGATCCATTCTTAACCAAGTGTGAAAGGTAAATCCATTCTGGTAGGGCCACTTGGCTATAGGAGGTAAGGCAATAGCCTAAAGAAAATAAATTAACATAGCAAGATTAAACAAAAATAATCCTTGAACCGTGAAAGTGGGCAAGGTGCAAGCTAGGTACGTACTATTTCACATGGCCAGAGTCCTTTTTTAAAGATTTCATCATAAAAATGTGCATAAATCAATATAATGAACCATGGAAAAATGAAATAGTTTATTGAAGAAAATTAAAAATAGTCTAAAAATGCAATGCTCAATTTTCTGCTAATACACAACAGAACAGGTAAAATTTACACACTTATGATCTCCATACTGTTGTCATGCAGCACTGCATTCCAAAGACAAAAGATAATAAACTCATTGTGGAAGGAAGTCAGGCAAGGAAATGGAAGTCTCTAAATTCTGCCTGAAGAATTCCCTTATCTACAGACTAGTCATGACTAGTTTAGCCTTATACAAAGTAAAGGCACAAAACTATTATAGCTCTGATTTAGAAAAATGTAACACAATACCTTCAGTCAAAAATCATCATAAAGAATACAGGACCTATATATTAGGTAGAAAGCTTGTAAATTACAAACCACATGCTGGTACAACAACAATTTATATAGTGTTAGATTCTTTGTTTGAGTAGTTTTTATTAACCATTACCATTCACTTTTTACCATTTTCCTTCACAGTCTTGCAATATAAATTTCAACTCAGATTGCCATAGTGCTCTGATCAAAGATGCTGTCCAGACAATCAATACCAATGAACAAAAACATCAAAGAACTTGGGTGTCGCCAGACTCCTTATTACACTCCCAAGCTCTATGCAGCTATCCTTGCCCAAACGCAATGCTATAAATCCTTCTCTGCAGCAATAAGTAACTAATCAGTCTATGTACGTCTCAGCCCAATATATGTATACACACATACACGCACACACATACTTTTAGTGCCTATTAATACTGCAGTTGGTTTAACTCAGGATATAGTTTTAATTAGTATAGCTTTCCCTACAAAAATTTGATTCCCATTTTTTTTTTTTAAATAAAGAAATTATTATTATATTGAGGTTTCTCATCTGTTTCTCAGACATTTATCACATACTGAAAAATAAAAATAAAACAACAGAAGAAAATAGTAAAACCATACACAAGTAGCCAAAACAACATGTGCCTGTTACAGATTTGCATTACACTTAAGGTTTCAGGAATATTGCTGTTTTATTTTTCACTCTCTTAAATCTTCATTCAAATACATTAATTGAGCTGAATATTTGTTGTGTGTGTGTTAAACCACCAGGTAGTAAGAAGTTGCATACATGCATAAAATCAAAGTAAGATAATGGGTATGAGAGATCTTTTTACAATCTGAAGTCATGTTTTCAGTTATCAATTTTTTTATTTAGAAAAAAAATATTTGCTTTACACAACAAAAGATTTTAAAAGATTTAAATGATTCAAGACAAGTTTTGGGGCACTTGATCTTCACTGAGGAAAGGCTCCATAACTTTTTTTAGTATTTGATTTAAAAATAAAGCATGCATCTGTATGGCAAAAACGTACATGGAATATACTGTGCCATGTATTTTTTATAAGAAATATGACAATCAAAATATTGCTGTATGTGGAACAAGAACTGTACACAAATTTTTTTTTAAAGATAGCCACTATATAAATATTCCCCAAAAGTGCCTCAAGAATATACAAGACAGATTCCTGTGTACACTGAGTACAATGTGAAAGTTGTAAGGCACAATCCCCCATACCACTTATTCTTGTTCCTGCTCCAGCTCCACTCCAGCCCGGGACATGCAGCAAGCATGCTCCAGCCCCAGCCTAGCCTGGTAGCAATGGTGGCAGGGGCATGACAGTTCCAGCTCCAGGGCCCAGCCACAGCAGCTGCCACTGCTACCAAGCTGGGCTGGAGCGTGTTTGTCTCTATGCCCCAGGCTGGAGCATAGCCACAGCCAGAGCAATGGTAAGCGGTGGGGGAAAGGTTGGGGGGGGATTAGGAGGGCGGACAGAGGGAGCAGGAAAGGGAGCAGGAACTGCAGGGAGCAGAGGTAGTGGGGGGGGGGCAGGAAATAAAAGGTGTGGAGAAGCAAGGGACAAGCTGACTGACTCACCAACTACAGACCCCTCTATCACCTGCCACTCCGTCACTGAATTTTCCCACTGTAGTGGTGGGGGGATTAGTTAAACCACAACCCTACAATAAGTATATTCTAGACATGGAAAATTATAAACAAATTTGGAATATATTTTTCCACTTTTAAAAAAATATTATAACACATCTATACTTATATTTTTCCCACATTTTTTCTAGAATCTAATTATTGGGGGGAGGGGTCATCTTAAATTCAGTGTTGTCTTGGATTTAGGTAAATACAGTACTGACATTTGTTCCTAGTCTAGCCAGGACTGTTTGCTTTCCCATAAGAGTAACACATATATAGTGCTAGTATATTATTATTTAAGCTTGACATAGTTACCAGGGAGCAAAAAAACAAATAAATACCTCACCAAAAATGTCATCTGCAGGACAAAGACTAGGGAGCATAACTGTTGCACAGAACAATACGAGTTAAATCGGAGCAGGAGATTAGGAAATAAAGTCAGTAAAAGCAGGAAGACAGCAAATAAAAGAAAAATAAAGCAAAATAAACTTTGACCAACAACTACTTACTGCAGCACTTTTTCCGGGAAAGTTGAAGAAGGCATCAGGTCCATATTTCTGGGGCATGTGTTTTAATACAGACAACAGCTTGCCAGCATGTGGTGGCTATTAAAAAAGTTATTACAAATATCAGACACTATACATAACATAAGTAAGGAAGGTTTAATCATACAAGAGGATGAATTTTGTCATGTTTCTATTCCTTCTGTGAACAAGCACAAGGCCATTATTCAGCAGAATAATATTCAACAAACAGCTATCAATACAAATTTATCTTCATATAGAGCAGTATTTCCCAACCTTTTCCAGACCAAGGCACACTTACATTAATAAAAATTTTCTGCTGCACACCTGTTAAGGCATTTCCCATCCTCATACCTACTGTAGCTCATTGCCATGGCAAAATTCTGCAGCACACCTGTTCACTTCTGATGGCACACTTTTGTGCTGCGGCACATTGGTTGGGAAACGCTGATATAGAGACCACTGCTGTTTCACCTATGGAGTAACAGTAATCTCTGGACACTTTACATCACCTACAGTATACACAAATACTACACCTATAGGTGCCAGACAGCTTTAACTTTCTAAAAGTTACCCATCTGGCCCAAAACTTGGCATGACTGATCTTTCCTAAAGCACTTTTTTCTCCTGCAGAAAGCAAAAGAAATCCCTTTACCTCCTTCAGAGTTACCACAATGGAGAATGGAAGCAGATATACTTTTCCTCTTTTAGTAAGAGGAATTTTTAGCGTAAGTAACTCAAAAACCCTACTAAAACTTTAAATTTCACATGTAGGTACTCACTGAAAGCCAAGTGCAGTATGAGCCTAAAAAGAATTTCAATTTTTTTCAGGTATTAAAAAACCTACAAAACAAAAAAACAACACCACCAAACACCCCTCACGCATCTACACTGAAAAAAAGGGAGATGCATTGTGGTTTAAGTTGATTATGCATCTTCAGCACCATATTGCTGCTGGGTAACTTTTGCTGCACATATGCATTTTGTGTCTTTATAAAGGGGTTGAGTTTAAGATTTATGGTGCTGTGCAACTCCGTAGAAATGCAGCTAGGTTTCTTTCTTCCTCCTCTCCTCTATACTGGGTCTTTAATAAAAGAAGGAAATTAAATTCAAACAGCAACAAAAAAAGGTCAGGAAATGAAAATGTTAACATTACAAAGAGACTCTTCCCACAACCAGTGAGCACATGCAGTGTTTATTATTACACCAGATATTATATTTACATCATATACACACTATTTTATGGAGCAAACTAAAATTCCAGACCTTCCAGACCTATTATTTTAAAAGTTTTACTTAATTGTGCCACTTTAATTGCACACTCATAGATTTTAAATAAATACTTGTCGTTTTTTCTAGACTGGGCAGGTTATTTCAGGTTGAAAAAAAATAACTTTTCCAATTAATTTGTGCAAATCTTAAAGCTGTTGCAATTTCCATACAAACAGAAGCTCTGATGGTTAAGAGCTCAGTTAGAAAAAAGCACATTTGGTAGCATCTGGATTAAGCAAGAAAACTAACTGTTGGGAGGGTTTCTTATTCTACTCAGAGTAGAATTAAAAAAAACAGTATGGTAAGACGTTACCGGCAAGCTACCAGCAAATGATACTACAGGTTTATCTTCTTTTCAATTCTTGTCAGAAATTCCTACTGCACTAACAAAATCAGATGTTCTCTTTACCAATCAGTGAAAATGACAGATTTCTTGAGTTGCATATGCAAGCAACTGTTTTTAAACCTACCTCTTTTAAATATCTCCATTTTGGTTTTTTGGTTTTTGTAATAACCCCCTTTTTACTTAAGCTTCACATTTGGGATTGTTTAAAAAAGAAAACAAAAACACCCCAGAAATTTTCCTATTTTCACCACATCGTTTCCAAGTGTATTTATGGAGGCATGGGTGAACAGTTTAGCAGGAGGACACTGGAACATATCAGTACACTCCGAGCTACCAAACTATAAATCTGATTAGTACCTTAATCACAATTTTAGACCTTATATTTTATTATTTGTATGCAAAAAGATCTATATCGACAATGATAGGCATCCTTACATCTTTGACAGCTTTAACATTTAGTTATCAAAAAATATTACAAAAGTTAGCCTGTTAGCTAATAGAAAATAGTAAAAGAAAGTATAACCAATACTATGACAAACTTATTTACCCATTTTCCTTTTTCCCCTTGAAGTTTGCTGAAGAACAATTTTAGTTCTCGAACTGTCAAATTATAGCTAGCCAGCACACCCAACATATCAACTAAGAGATCTGAAAGAGAAAAAAATAAAATAAAAGCACATATCTGTATAAGATAAAATGCAGTATCAAGAAGAAAAGTGTCCCAGTAAGTTTTATATAAAAAGCCAAGAATTTTTAGCTCAAAGTATTCTACTGCCATGTGAACTCCTACCTGCAATCATGTTATCAGCTTTATCAATCCTCTGGAGCACATGTTCAACAAGCCCAACTTCTGTGCAAACTTGCAGATTGCGTATACTCTTCTTCAGGATTGCTGTAAACATGCTCCATACCTCAGCCTGGCAAGTGGCATCGCATTTATCCAACAGATCTACCATGCATGTAATACCCTCTCCTTCTTGGATAATGAAGTTCATTTCCAGATCAAAATGGCCTCCTACAAGCTTTGAGAAGAAAGAAAGAAAGAAAGAAAGAAAGAAAGAAAGAAAGAACACTAGTGACATTCATTTCAAAGGATCTTCCTAAATGATAAATTTGCCATGGAAAATAAGTATGTAAGGCTCCCAACCACATGTGCTGAAAGGTATTTAGTGATAGCGGGGACTGGATTAGGATTAAATTAAAACAGATTGGGTGGCCACAGGACTGACTTCTATTAATTCTCTCCTCTGGGTTCACTATTACACTGAGTAACCCTGAAATGTGTGACCTTTCTATGATTTAGTTCATTCCTTTGGTAAATATGCTCACTTAAAACAATCCTGCTGAAAAGAGCTCACAGAAGTTTTGATCTTTAAACATTAAACCTGGCTCCTAAAATATTAAATAAAACATGCAACTTGGCTTTGGCAATTGAAGATACTACAGCATTTATTATTACTATTTTGTTCATTTTCAAGTTACAGAACAAACCCTGCCCTTCCACCCAAAAAACCCCCAAACTTTTTTTATACATTGGAGTGACCATTAATAAATATAAAGCACTGGTTTAAGCCCACCACAGGACTCAATGGTTCCTCATACAGATCTATTAATTAATTTTCTTCCAGAAATGAAAATCTTCAGGTCTCTAACAGACCTTGCTTGATTGTACCACATTAAGTGATTTGTGATGTATTAAGAGGGAATAGCTACAGGGTAGGCAAAAGAAAGGTGGAACCACACACACACATACTAAGTTTGCATTTATGACAAGCTAGAATTCGAACTTCATTTTCATTTTAATTAGGCCCTCATATTTCTAAACTTTCCTATAGAGTTAGAATAATATAAATCCATATAAAAGTATCTTATAGGTTATACAGGTCACTGTAGATCACCTGTGTACCACTTGCACACATTTACAAGAAAATGTCTAACCAAAAGGAAAAAAAGCTTATTCAGTTTTGTTGAGTTCTTGTTCATTTTGATGCATGTCCAAACAACAGATTTTTTTTCTTCCCATTCAACTTTCGTAAGAAAATAGGAATGTCTCACTCAGGAGATACACGTGAAAGTCAAGTATCTTGATAATTTTTTTCTTTAGAGGGAGATGTGCGAGTCTGAAAAGTTAAATCTAAAAAAATTAAGAATCAATTGGGAAGAAGAAAAAAAAGAATTGCATCCTAAAGATCACACATCTCAAAGATTTACTGCTTAGCAGAATCCTGTTCAGATTTCAAAAATGTTTCCTTTCCTGATGAAAATCATTCCAAATATTTTCCCTTGCTTTCAGAAACCAGCAGTTCCATTCATTAGATCTGATGGTGAAGTATATTAAATAAAGCAGAATTTGTTGCCCTTATGCTTAAGTCAAGCACAGTAATCATTGTAGAATTTCTGAAATTCCTAAATTTTGTATCTAGTTCAGAAGGGTCAATTTTCAGTATTCCCAACCTAAAAATCAGCAATGATATCAAATACCATAAAAGTGAGAAATAGATGGTGACTGAGGTTTCATGATGAAATGCAAAGTTTCTCTAAAACAGAAAGACAGATTTGTGTTTCCCTTATTTTTAGTTCTTCAAATTGCAGTTATTTAATTATGTAGTTAAGGAAGTATATGGCCAGGAATATTGTCTAGTAAATCCACAGACCTGGGAATCAGGAGACCCAATATCTGTTCTCAGCTCTACCACCAAGTGGTTTTTTATCATTATCAAGTTATTCACTTTGTGTCTCATTTTTTCCTCTTCTATGCTACAGGGATCGTGTCTATCATGCAAGGAAATTAGGGGCTAGATTCATTAGTGCATTCACAAAACGAACTTCAAAAAGAAAACCGCAATGAGACAAGCCTGAAGGAAACTGGATAATAGGTCAAGTAAGTGACTCATATTAAAGCTCATATTACACTGAATGCAAGCATATCACCTGCCTATAAAACTGATTGAAGCCTCCCTCAAAAGGCCAGTCTTTCAGCTGTAAGTAGGCTCACAGACTAAAGAGTAAATGATCCATTACTAACACAAATACAATAGCATAGCAGAGAGCAAAATTAAAGCTGGGAGTCACGTGCCACTTCTTAAAATTAATTATATTTCCTGTTTTAACTAACTAAACAATGCCAACAATCCTTTACAAGGCAACATTTAGCTATAACTAAAGTGACCTCACCTTCACCTTATAGTTCCTACCACCAATCCTTCACTTTGGCTACATACACACCATTATCAGTAACCACCCATCCGAGAAGCTGTCAAATTAGTTTTCCAATCTAATCTACAAAAACAAATATTTCAGCACATATTAAAAGTATATTTCCAGAACAGTAACTATTTCGAACATTTCTTCCTTTGAGCGTGTTAAGAAACACCTTATGAGAAAAATAATGATGGGGAAACCTGGTATACCAAATGTATAGCACTGTTGATATACTATATGTATGCATGCCCATTAGATGCATATAAGCACACACACACTACAGGCATAAGGGTATGTCATATTAACCCTTTCTAACGGTGATTTGAAACTGATCAACCTTCAAAATACAAATTTGTTTCCAACGACAGGGATCATAATCCAGGCCCATGCATTGGCTAGTTATTATCTGAGCTGCAGTAATGGCTGTGCACAGCAAAATGTAATCTTCCCAAATGTCACAGTAAGTTATGAATATCTGAGCAGCTTAATGCACCTTACTAGCCATGAAGTGTGAGAATGTAATCTTATTACCTTTTTTATGGTTGTATTTTTTTGAATAATGTAGCCTTTGAACTGATGTATAGTCTTTCCCTGCACTTTAGCATGATTTGGTCTCCTGTGTTGTACAGTACATTTTTCAAAAGTCTCCAATTCAACCTATTTTAAGTCTTAGGCTGAACTTCATAAACAATCTTTATAGCAACCTACAGGGTGGCATAACGTTTTCTTTCTATAAAAGCATAGTATTAGGTGAAAACATACAGCAATTATTTTAAAACACAGTATTCAGAGTGTTCAAATATATCTTCCCAAGTTTTATATCTCTAATATTTGCCAGATATACTTACCTTTAGAACAAGACCAACATAAAATGAATCGACACAGTGAGCTTTTCAACAAGCATAAACAATACCTTTATTTGGTACTTGCAAATTAGAGAAACTATATCCACTCTTCCATTTCTAGCCAGTACAAACATCCAAACCTTAAGCATTTTCTTTCATCCCCAACCTTCCTAGGTTTAGGCAGACTTAATATGTAAACCATACATACAAAGATGTCCTAGCTTTAATAAAGGTCTTGAAAGCATGTTTATCTACATGGGGAGTGTCCAACTCATTTGACCCCATAGGGTAAGTGCAGGCTGCATGCGCTACCCAGCTCTGGTGCCGATCCGAATTGAGCTGTGATGGAGCCAATACACAGGGGCAAGCCCAGCAGGGTGCCATATGTAGCCTGTGCCCCAGACCAACCCCCTGTACTGCACGGAATGCTAAGTCCACCACGTGCAGAGTGAGCACCAGGGCTGGTGTGTGCTGCATGCAGCACACGGGCTGGATTGGCCATATGATCTGCATGTGGCATAGGGGGCTGGCAACAGGCATGCACTGCATGTGGTTCCCTGCTAGACCAGCTCTGCCTGCTGGCTCCAGGGCCATGCTAGAGCCAGGTCCCAGGGCCTGGCAGAGTGCCACATGCAGCCCACACCCCAGACCAACCCCTGTGCTGTGTACAACCCACATACTGCATACAGCATTGGGGCCAGGACCAGCATTATATAGCGTATGGTGTCAGTCCAGAATACAGCATGGCACATTCTGCAGCGCTGGGCAAGCCCATAGCCCAGGGCACTTTAGAGGCTCAGTGCAGCAGAGGAACAATGGCTGAGGAGCCAAGGGTGAGGCACAGCATCCAAGCATGTGGTGTAGCTGAGGTGCACGGGAGGCATCAGGATGTATAGTGCTGGGTGTGGGGAGCAAGCAGGGGCACACATGGTACAATGGAGGACACTGCAGCACACAGTGGAATTGGGGGTGCAGCGCCAGGGGCCCATAGCACCTGCTGGTGCAGCCCTTGTTAGGGCTGCCTGAAGGGTGTGTGCTCCCAGTTGCTTAGAAGATGGACAGCCCTGACCTCCAAGAGACAGGAAGAGCTATCACAGCTTGTCTATTTGCTACAGCTACTAGCCATTCAGAGAGATACCCTCTCACTAAAATAACTAGCAAGTTGCTCTAAACCAGTGGTTCTGAACCTTTTTTAAACTCAGGGCATCCCTCATTAGATGAGAGCCTACTTTGTCATAACATCTGATGAAGTAGGTTGTTGCCTACAAAAGTCTGTGCCTTTCTGACCAAGTTAGTCTTCAAGGTGTCATCCTGCCCTAACTTCTGCCCAACTTCAGACTAATACAGATAATTACCTTGCTGTAATAGAAACTAATGCATTTGTCTCATTTGCTCAAAATAGGAAAATTGAAAGACTAATATTGCAAACTGAGATCTTTCTTTCCTTCTATGCGAATTCCATAGGTGACATTCATTAGTAAAACAATATCAAACACATATAGAACATTTGCCTACCTAAAGCAGAAATACATACCAGCTACATATCTGACTTGTTCATTTCACTGGACTGGAAATTTGGGGGCAGATTTTTTGAGAGCATTGCTAATTTGGACCTGCTACAATGCATAGGCAAGGTTAGTTAACTCAAAGTAGATAGATGCTCCTATTCTTCATACAGTTTGCATGAATGATCTTTAGGGCACTGCATAGAAGTATGATGGGTTCACTTTAGCCAGCATCTTTTCAGAAAATAGTCCTGTATATTTTACAAAAACTCTTTGGAGCAAAAACTATATATATGTCTATATACAGTATATGATATAGTCTGTAAACAGTAGGCTGCACTTGCATTCAAGCTAGACACGTTGCATTGCTGGTCCAAAAATGAAGGAACCACTTAAGTGCATAGCTTATTTCAGGCCCACTGTCTAGTCTGTGACTTGTTAACTAATTGTAACTGTATACTGTAATCGTAG